CGTGTTTCACCCGTTTTTGGTGCTCACTCGACAATTTTAAATTTTCTTTGTAATTATAATAATATTATATCTAAATAAAATAAATGAGATGTTATATTGAGTTATATCACTCAATGGTGTCAATACCTCTTCTAGGTAACGACAGTGCTATATTATTATTACGATATCGTGAAGTTTTTTTTTTTACAAAATACTTATTATTGACCGTTCAAGAACCAGCGAGGGACGGCTAGATAAATTAAAAAATACGACACATGAAGTCGTAAAACATACTTATGAACAATTTCACATACACTATCCAGAGTGGTTTCAGAGTAAAATACGTGTAGCAAAAAATAAAGAATAATATAATATTTTTAAGATAACCTCATAATATCCGTTTTTGAATACATAAATTATTTCTTGATGAGTTATTGATTTAAATATTCAAAAATCTATTTATTTTACTTTTTTTAAATAACTGTAACTTTTTTACTATGCTCTATTTCAAAAAAATGGATATGAGGTTGTCTTCAAGTGTTGTTTATACTTTAAAATTTGTAATTAGTGACTGCTTTAAAAACCACTATAGAACAATTCATCACTATTCTCCGTATAAATCTGGAACCGGAACCTTTAAAATATTAATAACTGGAACCGGAACCTAAACTTTTGTTTTAATAAATAAAGTACTAGGACCTTACCGGAATTTTTAAATTAAAAATTTTCCTTTAAGCTCAAAAATAAAATTATTTTATTTATTTTATCATAATTCATAATTTAATGGTATTTCTGTTTTGTGTATAAACTATGTATGATCATATGAGTTTCTTATACTTTTAATTAAGCCCTAATTCCTGATAGGTATTTAAATTTATTATAGTTTTTGGTAAGTACCTAAAGGCTAAACTATCTAAAATCTGTACCGAAATTATTGGGAACCGATACCTTTATTTTTTTTTTATCAAAAAACAAGAGCCAACTCGGAACAGTTATTTTATTTTTGGAGAACCAGTACCGGAACCTATATCAATAAATTCAAAAGGTTCCAGTCCCTGAACTGAACAGAAACTAAACTAAAAAATTGCATTAACTTTCCCAACCATGTTTTCATTAAAATATTCAATATAATGTTATACATCTTATATTATATAGCGGTTGTTGAATCATAACTATTTATTAAGCAGTACCACTATTATAATAGACGTCGATTTCGACTATAAGTCTTTATTTAAAAATGTTTGTATAAGTTGTATATATGTACGTGTGTATTTATTTATAATATGTTTGGTTCAAATGGTCAGAAACAAAATTGAGTATACGTCATTGTCTTATCGGTTTTTTAAACAAGATGAAAGATTGTCAAGTTCTTTATAATATTATAAGATAAAGAATGAATAATATTGTGTGGTTGAGTAAGTCGTGTCTATTCTAAAATAACTGATGTGATAATCATTAAATTAATATAATATTACTTTTATATTTTACGATTTTTCTGTTAAAGAAAATGTTGTAAATTACCCATATAACATACATTGGTACTTACTATGTGCAAATGTAAAATGATGTGAAAATGTGATTCAAAACAGGTGAGAGGAAGTCGTATAGCATTATACACTTCTTATTATAGCTTCAAATATGCGTAACACATTTCAAAAGTGTAAGTGTAAATGTATTGATTTTACAATGATGTGTGTTTTATTTTTATTTAAATGTTTTAATACCGATCTATTATTAGGTGAATAATAATTTTTTTTAACGGCCATGTCCAAATGGCTACGTCCACCAACGTCCAACATTATAGTTTCCAAATGAGATGTTGACCACAATTCCACCAATTCAATTTTATATTATTAAAATCTGTTATATAGTAATATTATTTAAAATACTATAAAATATTGATAAAACTGCAGGTAAATAATATATTAACATTTTAATGAAATCATTTTTATATAATTATATTATAAGAATAATTAAACAATAATAATAAGTCTGTGCCCGGTAGCAAAGTTGAGAGTGAGCCAAATACAACAAATCATAAGATAATATAGATAATAAAAATTTGTAAAAAGTATAAATTATATTTTTAAATAAAACAATACTGTAGACTTTCTAATGATTTTTTTTATATATATAACTTTAATGAATGTTTTTAACAATTAAAATATATGGGTATGCGGATTGTGGGTACACAATTAGTTTATCTTTTTTTTTTTAAATCGTATACAGCGTATAACAAACAGACCTATGTCGTAAAACGTATGTAGTTAAACGAATGGAAAAAACTATGAAAATTATATGGACAATATATAATTTAAGATTTACATGTGTGCCTCATGTAGTATATGTGTCTTTCTTTAATTCCATGATAAGTAATTGCATACGCAATACAAAGACAGTGTCTGTTGGCCTATATATTACTAAGTATATTCTATGATATATATTTTTATAATTCTATCACAGTAATATGGCAGCCACGTGGTCGTTTCCACAAAATCTATGACATACATAGGTACTCTGGTACTGGTTTTAAACAATATTTCGAGAAATATTTTAGTTTTACACCTTGTTATTGCAGTTGACGTGTTAATTAATCTGTTTTGAAAAAATTTTGTTTTTATTTTATAAAAATTTGGATATTTAATTTAAAACTGTTAATTTTTATAATATATTATATAATAAATACCAAGCTTAAATTAGATTAAAAACTTGAACGGCCGTTAAGGAAGGTTGAATTATTTATTGCCGAAAACATTGAATTTGAAAATTTCGTTGTATGTATAAAATATAATAATATATTATAGTATATACCAAAAGTTTTAAGCACCCACGAATAATATTTTTAATTTACAACAAAAAACCGTCATTCTTTGTTTAAAACTCTATAATTTTGGCCCAATGTTAACTTATAATGTCTATATAAAAATGTATGAGGTATATTGTTTACCTATATTATTTTTATAATAATAACATCTTATGAGGAACCTTGTATTATATTTTCAAACTTTTTGACTAAGCGAAAATTACTAATTTAGTAATTTTACTATTTATAGTTTAATTCTATGTTATATCTATGGCCTTGAATATACTATAAGTAGGTATATAATTTTCACATGCATGACAATATTGACATATAATATGAATTTAATCAAAAGAACATAATATTGTGTTATTGCTTAATAGACAACAGTACAACCGTCGACCTATACGAGTTTGTTATCAGTGTTTGAACCTTGTAACCTTAGTTAGAATTATTAATAATCACTATGCATGGAGAATGGAGTTTAAACATTTTATAGTTGATAAAAAGTTCATTTCATCATAGTTTACATTGATCATTAGCTCAGATTTTTGTATATTATAATATCTGTTGAGTTGTGGCCCGAATAATATTTATAATTTTAAGTTGTGTCGATCATACATTTATACATATAATATTATAGCTTTCCGTTTAAAATTTACGACTGTCGACAATTATAATATAGCATGACGTATGTCTGCAAACTATAATAATAATCTTTTATTGTTCATCGTTTTATGACATGGCTTTCATATAATATATGTTATCGATCGTTGTCTGTTTAATAACGAAAAATAAAAAACATATTAAATCTTAAAAAATAATAAACATGTTTTAGCCAGTGCCATAATGTTAATTTAAAAAATATATAAATATTGTTATATTATATATTTTTGAATTAGTACGTACCAAAAAAAAACATTTTTATAATCGCAAAAAAAATGGGCGGTAAAAATTCAGGAGAATGTTTTTACCGATATATGCAATTAGTAGCTACTAACCACCTAAAATTCTGGGGGCCTTGAGTTTTATAAAAAAAAAATGTATGATAAGACTCGTTTTATTTATTTATTTATTTATTTATTTATTTATTTATGGAGAAAAAAACTCCATTTACAAAAAGTATGTACAAATATAACAGTTACAACATAACTTCATAGAGAAAAGAAAGCTTTTACAGGATGTGATAATTAATTTGTATATAATAAAAAGTAAAATTAATAATAATATAATAATAATAACTATAATCTCGTAGTACAAAGATTGGTAATATGAAAATTATGCAAATATGATTTGACAATTTATTAGCTATTTTATTTTCGGTATTATGGGAGAACACTACGTAGTACGTACTCGAAGCATCTTATAATTTATTATATCTACAAATTATTAAGCTAATGGAAATGTGTCTCTACCTTATTGTGTACCTAGAGCGCCATAGGCATGCCTCTAATATTGGTTGGGAAATAAATTAAAATATCAAAGTCTATTGAAATATACTGTTATATTATAATATTATATTATGTTATATTATATTATAATATTTATATTGTTTGGAATTTGGATCGATTAACAGCTAATGAAATGCATGCCTAATTATTTCACCGGTATTTTTTTGAAATTAAATATAAAAAATATTATAATATTATTCATAGAGATTGCATAAATTCGAGTTTAGAACTGATTGTGAATAATAAATTACCTATACCGTGTGTATACGTCAGCTAAAAACCTAATTTTATTGACTAGTTGACTAAATAAAATAAAAAAAAAATACGTTAATTTTAACTTATGAACACGAATTATAATTTTATTTTCAACAAATGCATACGTTACCTATGTATATCCAGTTACATAATGCATTCTAAACTACCTATCTAATATAATCGCCGATCTCGAGACTCCGGTTTATAGGCAGTTTAGTCACATATTTGAACACGTTTTCTTGTCATATACAATGGTCCAACGTGGGTCCCCTCTCCCTTCTTAACCCGACCACACGTCGTGTTGGTCACCCTCGACGACGATAGACGGCGTAGCTGCAGAATCAACACTGTAGGTACCTTATAGCTGAATGCTCATGCTGCAGTCACGAGACCGCAGCCGACGCCGGTGGACGCATTACATCCGATCGAGCAGTACGTGCGAGTGATAGTTTACAATATTATTATTGTTTTTTTTTTTTTTTGTTGTTACTTACCAACGAAGAAGAAGTACTAATATGTCGACGTTAACGAAAAACATTCCAACCAGATTGGGACGCAAAATGAACATAATCAAGGAGGTGGCGAGTAAACATGAAAATAAACAAGAGGAGGAACTTCCGTCCCAGGACAATTTGGACGAATCACCAATACCGTTCATGTCGTCCGAAGAAGAGGTTATGGAGCAGCCTCAGATCGACGTCGATGCGTTGGCGAAAACTCATCTTCGGTTAAATGGCGGCGGTCAACATAAATCTTCGTTCCAGCCACTGCCTTCGCCGCCTATCGCACTGCCTCGCAAATTGAAGCCGGACCCGAATGAGAACGCTGACTGTACCATCGACGTTGACGCCGCCAACGAGGCCGGTCAACAGTCATTGGACGACGTCGAGCAGGAAGTCATAGGCATAGAACCACAGATGATGCAACCGGAAGAGCCACATATTATACGAGAGCAGCCGCGGTCCACCGACGTCCCGTCAAAAGAAAATAAGCGTCCATCAGAATTCGGCAGCGAAGACGACCAGGAATTCAATGGATGCTGCGAAGGCTGCTTGTATTATACCATCAGGTGCTGTGATTTTTTTACGTTTGTCTGATATTTCAATGTAATATTATAATCAATATATATAGTAAATAGAGTAGTTAAATCAAAAATTCAAATAAAAAATGTCATTAGGTGTCTTAACATGAAATATTATTCTGCAAATACTACTGCATTATGCATTTTTAATAAATAATTAAGTTTAATTAACATTTGTTTTTTTTTTTTAATAATTTGTATTTTATATTATTATGTTTATTTATTGATAAGCTATTTGTTTACATACAATTTAAAATAATATATATAATTTACATTTGCCATGAATAATTAAGTTTAATAAAAAATAATATATTAAATTAGTTTTTGTTTTTTATTTAAAATTAATAAGAATGTGTATCATAGTTTAGGTATGTGGATATACCTACAGATTAAGGAACAAGTATCGTACACAGTGACGTAGCCAGGAGGGGGGTTAGGTGTTCACGCCACTGTTCGTACTACTGAATTTCCGTGTCGGTTTTCTTAACAAATATAAAATTAAAAATATAATTTAGATTAGTAGTAGCCATTCATTTTAAATAAAGTTGGTATCATTTTAAAATATGTAAATAGTTTCAATGGTGTGCTGTTATTTTTTATATTAGAGTGATTTGACCTATTATCAAATTTTTAGCTAATAACATTATCTGTGCTTAAGCGTTGGCTTTTATTCAATATTTTAATTTTCAAGCGAGATATGAGCATTTTTATTTTTTGATATTTCATTTACCCATATCTTTAACATAAAACATTGCTCTGTTAACTTGTGGCGGAAAGTTTTACTATAGATTTAAAGTATAATGATTTAACGGCGTTTTGTTATAAAACTAAAAAATTTAAATCGACTTTTTGGTATAAACATTTTCAGAAAAGTTAGGTGAAAAAGGCGTTTATTAGATAAGAAATATGTCTAACTGATAACAATTTTTATACTGAACGGAGGCGCCCTTTTGATAAAATAAAAGTAAAAACATGATTACGTAAAAAGGGCGTTCTCCACACAATTATATGTAAAATAATATTTATACTGATCATTTTAAAAGGGCGTTTACCACAACATTTTTAGTGGTTATGATTTATAATAAGAAAGGCGTTCAAGAATCTGAATTTAAAAGGGCGCATACCACGACTACTATCACTTTGAATGACAATAAATGTAATTAGCATACATCTAACTATCTAAGTATTAGAATGATAACTTTTATCAAATTATCAACAATCAACATGTCTTCTGTATGAAGTTATATTTGAGATGGACCAATTTCAACGATATACTTTTAAAAACACTATATTTAGTCCTTCATGAACAATTTTAATCATGTGGGTTGCGCCCTTTAAAAAAAACACCTTAGATATTAAAGTGCAGGCAATCGGGGTTTGGTGTCTCACATGAAATGTTCTAGTAGTAGGTAACAGTATTTTTACATAGGTACTGATTCATAACATCATTTTTTTTTTGGTTCTCTTACATAAAATAATAGGTAGTATACCTACATTTTCTGTAAAATAAAAAAACAAAAAGGTAATAGATAATAGAGAAAAACAACATACTTTTATGCAGGTAAGAATGTAAGATACTCAAGACTGCATGCGTCTCATCGTTCCATCATTCCCAAATGATTTGAAGAAAAAATATATATATACAATTAACAGTATTTTTTTTATTTTAAATTATTATTATTATTATTTGTGCAGCGAAACCCAATTATTTAATTTTAAATAATTTTTGTGAACGGGTCTTATCCCCATAAATTACAACATAGATAATCTATGTCTTAAGGTTACTATAAAATATTTTTTTTTCAATGCGATGAGACCAGCTGTAGTACCTATACTAACTTAATTCCATTACAATCTAATTATTAAACTAACTAAAAATAAATCAAAAATTTCAAATTAATTTTGATTATTTTAAAAACAGTGTATTCCATATTAGCACAACAATATACTAACCCTATGATTAAAATGGTTGTATTTCAACTCACTAAACGAACAGGAACATAAAATTATATTATACACTGCACCCAGTCACAAAATACTTCGTACATTTACCACCACATGCGGTATGCATACTTCCAAAATTTAAATGTGTGTGTGTTTACCCCGATCAACAGTGATTACCTACATGTATGCTACGACTCTGCAGCTGTGTGTGTGTGTGTGTGTATACTTATAACTTATAAGTTACAACTATGGACAACAAGGTAGGTACCTAATTAAAATATAATAATATATAGATACACATACGACATACCTATATAATTTATTTATTTATTCGTATGATTTATATGCTGTAGCACTAAAATATTTTCTTATTAGATACATAACAGGTTAAATTTAATTATTTCTATTATCAGTATAAATGTATAACTAATATAAATACAAATTTTAAGGTACATATAGGTAGTAACCTAATAAAGCAAAACAGAAAAAATATCACAATAAGTACCACATTAAATAGAGTTAAATTGAATTAGCTAAGATGTCTATAAATACTGATAAATACCTATATAATTGGTAGATCGTCAATAAAAGGTAGAAAAATATGAAATTCACAGCAACACAAACAAAATGTATAATATGATTAATCTGATACCGCACACCACTCACGCATACCTATAACAAATAATAATAATTTAAAAGTTACATGCTTGTACAAGTTAACCATAATTTTAAATTGAGTTTAGTTAAGTTGATTGAAAACATATTTTTAATAATTTTAAAGTTAATAGTTATCCTAATTTTTTTCAATTCAGTCGACCTAATATATGGAAACTTACAATTAACTTATTAAATTAATTTAAGTTATTTTTTTTTAATATATAAATAGTCAGTAATATTTTTTAAAATAATAAAAAAATAAATGTTTATGCAATAGTATTTATCATCAATAATAATTGTATTATATTATTTATTATTTATTTATTTATAAATTAACGTAACTTGAATTTGATTAAAAGTAACTCGTTATTATAAAGTTGATATCAATAAAAATCAGTTAAGTTAATAAATATAAAGTTTTAAAAAGTTAAAATTAACTTTACTTTCAACTTAACTTTATAAGTCGTTTATACATAGGCTTCAAAGGTTATATCTCTATGATTCACGAAATAAACACAATAGTTTAAATTATACCTATAATACCTATAAGTAATTGTTTTGGAATAAATATTCTGCGTCAACGGAAAGCCAAAAAACGGTTTTTGCACACGACAATATTATAATAATAATATAAGTCTTCAGCCATTTGTGCACCCGACAGACAAATTGTGGTGATATTGGTAACTAAAATTTGCAATAAAACATGTAATAGTGATTAGCACCTATATTATAAATTTATAAAATATACTAAGTAAAAAAGGGGTACCTGAGTGGATTACCCTCTGCTGTACAGTAAATTACAAGAGGGTCACTGTAATAGATGGTGATAAATTTGATTTCAATGATATATAATATCATTGTACACGAAAAACAGTTCTGAGCGAAGATCAGAAGAAGTCAATCACTATGATATTAGTATATAACTAAGTATATTTGATGATATTATTGTGAATAAATTAATTTACTCGCCTATTTACGTGGAACCTTGTTTATATTTTTCAATCCTTAGTTAAACAAATTTAACATTTTATAAATTTTCAACTACAAAATAATTTTTAAATATTAAATTTGATAAAATTCAAACTTTAAATGCTTAAATAATTGTAACTATGAATTTTTAATGTTTTTCAACTGCCATTGCAACAATATATTAGGAGCGTTGAATTAAATTTTGAAGCTTTTTGACTCAACAAATAAAATTCTATTGACATTATTTTATAGAAAAAAAAAAACTAAATGGAAACTGAAAATGTCCGTAAACCGTTCAAAGCAAGTCAAAATATTTTTAAAGTTTTATTGTGTATATAAAATGCTAATATAAACATTCAGTGAAAATTTCATGGATCTGCGGAAATAATATAACATTGTAAATTTAAAAAAAATTACACAAATCGCATTGTAAATCAATACATTCATTTCTCCTCTCAGAATCAAAAATTTAATATGTTAGTCAACAGCTCAAAACGAGTCAAAATATTTTTAAAATTTTATCAAAAATAGAAAATGACAAAAGGAAAATTTCATTCTGATAAAGATTTATATTTATACTATCCAAATCCAATGTTGTAATAGTTAGAACCATAAACGATTATAAAAATACAAGTTGACTTGTCAGTAATATTTTTTTCGAAAAAAGTAGATAAATTTAAGAAGAATATTATAATACATTTTCAAATCTTAGATACAAAAAGAGAATTTTTATGAGTTTCCAACTTGACATAGTTAGCAAATTTTCTTGATTTCTAAAAATTTTGACAAAATTCGAACTTGTATTTACGCCCTAATTTTTTTTAATTTCTATTAAGAACAACTTATAAGGAACCTATTGTATTACATTTTCAAGTTTTTTGTCCGATTACATTTTTATCGATATTTATTTTAAATAAACTAATAATAATCGAAAATAATCGAAAATACTGTATTTTTTTATAGAGTTACATCAAAACCAAAATCAATTTTTTCGAAAACTAATTATGCTTAAAAATTCCCGTTTTGTCTTAATTTTTATTTTCCTCGGGTTTTTGAAAAGTACTGTGCATTTTTACCTACCGAATTCACCAAATAAATTCACTTTCCCATCGGGAAAGATACCGAAGTTGAAAATCAAAGAATTTTTCAAATATTAATCATGTATGTACAAAAATACAAAAATTATTAAATTAAAAGAAAAACACATCATTATAAAATCAATACATTCATCACTCCCCTCAGAATCTAAAACTAGTTATATTTACTTTCCACCGTTTCAGACGTTTAAGTTAACACGTCGTTCGTTCGGTAAACTCGCAAACTTATAATAATAAGTAGGTATAGTAATATAAAACTAAATGTTTTACAGAAAATCAATATAACATCACAAGCGTCGTAATAATTAATATTTCAATATTAAACCTAAAAACTAAAATAAATCACAAA